GTGTGTGGGGCACTGTATGTGTGTGTGGAGCAGTGTGTGTATTGGGGGGCAGTGTGTGTGGGGGCAATGTGTGTATGGGGGGCAGTGTGTGTGGGGCACTGTATGTGTCTGTTGGGCAATGTGTATATGGGGGGGTGTGTGTGTGTGGGGCAATGTGTATATGGGGCAGTGTGTGTGGGGCACTGTATGTGTATGTGGGGCAATGTGTGTATGGGACAATGTGTGTGGGGGCACTGCATGTATCTGTGGGGCAATCTGTGTATGAAGGGCAGTGTGTGTGGGGCAGTGTATGTGTGTGGGGGGGCAATGTGTGTATGGGGGTGCATTGTGTGTATGGGGGCAGTGTGTGTGGGGCAATGTGTGTATGGGTGTGCAGTGTGTGTGTGTGGTGCAGTGTGTGTCTGGGGGCAGTGTGTGTGGGGCAACGTGTGTATGGGTATGCAGTGTATGTGTGTGAGGCAGTGTGTGTATGGGGGCAGTGTTTGTGGGGCAGTGTGTGTAGGGCAATGTGTGTATGGGGGCAGTGTGTGTATAGGGCAGTGTGTGTGTGGGGCATTGTATGTGTGTGAGGCAGTGTGTATGGGGGGGGCAGTGTTTGTGGGGCAGTGTATGTGTGTGGGGCAGTGTGTGTATGGGGGCTGTGTTTGTGAGGCAGTGTGTGTATGGGGGTCAGTATTTGTGGGGCAACGTGTGTATGGGGGGAAGTGTATGTGTGTGGGGCAGTGTGTGTATGGGGGGGAGGAGGGTAGTGAGGATTTTTAATAATTTTTTTTTATTTAATAAAATAAATATACATTATGTCCCCCCTCCCTCCTTACCTGTACTGAGGTAGGAGGGGGGGCATTTATCGATCCCTGGTGGTCCGGTGGGGAATCCCTGGTGGTCCCAGTGGTGAGAGTGAACTCTAGCTCGTAGCTCCAGGGCTGGAGTTCACTTTCACGAGATCCGAAGCGTTGCTGTGGTAACCGCGGCAACGCTCCGTGCTTGCGAGAGAAGGACCCGGAGAAGCTAGACACTGAGCTCCCGGGTCCTCTCTCCCTACCTCCCCTGCTGGCTACCAGCAATGTGCCTGTGGACCGGGGAGGGAGATCTCTGATCTCCCCTCCTGTTCTTGAAGGCACATTGCAGGGCGGGCTCTTGGACATTAACAGGGGAGAGCCTCGGCCTGCCTTGTTATCTGATGGGGGGGGTCAATTGCCACATTTACCCGCCCCCCCCTGGATTCGACACTGGGGCTGCCATATGGTCTCAAAGGCAACATAGGTCCAGCAAACCAATCTGCCAAAATTTGTGCAAACATGGAAAAGGGGAACCCCTATATTTGACCTATGTAAAACCTGCACATCGGGGACACTGTTGTACTCAGGTGATGTTGCTGAACACATATTGGGGTGTTCTTTGTCAGTAACACATAACAGGAACTGAAAATCCATGCCTAAAGTACAATGTGAGAGAAAAATAAAAATTACTACTCAAAAGTTTGACAAAGGCTGGTGGTAGAATTAGTGCATGGAAAGTGTTAAAATACCACCATTTGAAATACCCTAGGGTGTCTACTTTTCAAAATATATGGTTTGATGGGGGTAAATTACACTGGCCGGCTTAAAAAATTTCCCAAATAGTACATGGGTGCATGATGACTAGCTGTGAAAATTCCAAGTTGGAAAACTGGAATGCGCACCCTCCAAATAAGATCTTTTAGCCCCCAAAGAACATGACACACCTATACATGGGTGGTATCACTGTACTCGGTAGATTGCTATGTGTGTCAAAAAATCACTTTTTTAAAATTTGGTATAGATTGGTGGTAAAACTGTTGCATGAAAAGAGTCAAAATATGCAAGTTTAATATCTTAGGTTGTCTTCTTTTAAAAAATATATACATGCAAAGGGTTATTCAGGGATTCCTGACAGATATCAGTGTTACAATGTAAGTTTCGTTAATTTTGAAAACAAATGATTTCGAAAAAACAAAGTGCTACTTTTACTTATTGCCCTGTAACTTTCCAAAAAAAGCTAACATGTTAACATTTGGGTATTTCTAAACTCAGGACAAAATTTATGAACTATTTAGCATGGGTGTTTTTTGGCGGTTGTAGATGCGTAACAGATATTGGGGTCAAATTAAGAAAAAGTGTTTTTTTTATCATTTCATCATATTTTATCATTTGTTTTACAGTAAATTATATGATATGATGAAAATAATGCTATTCTTAGAAAGACCATTTAATGGCGAGAAAAACGGTATATAATATGTGTGGGTACAGTAAATGAGTAAGAAGAAAATTACAGCTAAACACAAACACAGCAGAAATGTAAAAACAGCCCTGGTCCTTAATGGTAAGAAAATTGAAAAATGGTCTGGTCACTAAGGTGTTAAATACATAAAGGGAATCAACACAGTAAAGGAGGAGACTATATTTAAAAGAAGAAAAACTGCCACAGGTCCCCATGCAAGGGGCACTCCCCCCCGGACCTGAGAGTAGACTAGAGTAAAAACATATACACGATTATATTGACTCTCAGATCCAGGACACTCCCATACAAAATAGGTCAATCCCTCCCCTATGTCTGGTCGTCCATAGGAGTTGTGGCAACCCAGACCAACACCCTGATCTATATTTCTATTGACTTATTTACTCTATCTTAGTTCTTCATACAATGCAATTAAGTTAGTTTGACATGACATATGTTTCATAAAACCATGATTATTATTGCTTATAACAAAGTTCCTCCCCATGAATTCCTGAATATTATCCCTTAATCACCCTTTAAATACTTTTCCAGTCACAGAAGCTAAGCTCACAAGTCTATCATTTCCAGGCTAGGATTTTGAACCCTTTTTAAATATAGGAACGACATTTGCCTTCCTCCAATCCTCAGGTACAATTCCTGAAATAAAAGAATCTTGAAAGATTAAATACAAAGGTTCACTTATTTCCATACTTAGTTCCTACCCGTGGGTGAATACTGTCAGGCCCTGGAGCTTTATTTACATAAATTTTCTCTAACTGCTGTAGCACCTTGTCATGAGTAATTCAATCACAAATTAAAGTTTTTGCAGCAAATGATGATCACAGCCAATCTAAATACTTGTGCAGCAAATCACTGTGCGGTTTACAGGTGACTATTTAATGGCAACCATCACTTTAACAACCAAGAAAGTGATGGTTGCCATTAGATTGGTTACAGACCAATCTCAATCCTAAATGCTGACCTAAAGTTATTTTCTAAAGTCGTAGCACTGCATATAGGCCGAATTCTGCCTGACCTGATATGCCCGGACCAGGTGGGATTTGTGCCTGGTAGGGAGACAAAGGACAATAGTATTCGGGCTCTTAATATTATGTTACGGTGCTCGGACCGTGGAATCCTTCTTCTCTCTACTGACGCAGAAAAAGCTTTTGATTGGGTTGACTGGAAGATGAGGTCGCTACAGACCATGGGAGTCAACCCGCACCGAATGTCCTGGATATCCTTTCTGTACACGATCCGAGCACTCATATTTGGATAAATGGTGCATTCAGAATGGAACTTGATAGGGGTGCTCTTTTTTCCCCTTCTGTTCCCTCACTCTGGAATCATTTCTACCATTCCTTGAGGCGGTCAGACTATCCTGCATTTTTTAAATGATTGGATGCAGTTATTTCAAAGTTCATTTGGAAGTCAAGGCAATTAAGGATATCGCAAGCCGTGATACATCTGCCAAAACATCTAGGAGGAGTTGGATTACCATCTATTCAGGCTTACTATAGAGCTACACACCTGCTCCAAAAAATGGACTGGATGTTAGCTTCAAGCTCTCTGAATAACAATGGGAGAAGGTGAATATACTCGTGCACTAAAGTACCATGAGTTGTAAGCTACAGGATCTGAGCTATAAGTTGCTTATGGATTGGAATAGAACACCGGAGAAAGTGCATCGCACATATGGGGGAGACTCTGAGATATGCAGGAGATGTGGGAAGGAGGTAGGTACAGACGTGTACATGTGCACATTATTGGTCCAATACTGGAAACTTGTCGCTCTCCCTATATAAAAAATCCCTGACTAAACATCTCCTGAATGCAACGAAGTCCCTGATCCCTGTTAGATGGCTTACAACGGTTGTGCCCACCCTGCAGCAATAAATGTCAAACTTGCGGAAATCTA